TACTTTTGGTAACTTCAAAATCGGAATCTCATTTTCCAAAGGAAGATAATTCAACAATCCCGAGGTTTTTTTTCGAAATAAGTGAAGTTGTCATCCTTTTCCGGCTGACTTCTCCTGGTGATGGACTTTAGTAAAGAGCTGTCATGTTGATAATTTTGTTCCAAACGACAGATCTTGTATCCACGTATGAAAATCGAGGAGGCATGAGAAGCAGCTTACACACAGTTTGTATGCCACATGAAGAAAGTTCACCTGAAATCTTACGCAAGCGTGATCGGCGGGGAGAGACTCTTCTCTTAACTTGCATATCAACACTTCACCAATTTGTAACAAAGACTCGGAATTCTCAAAATGCAGGCGTAAGCAGGGCTAAAAAAGCATATCAGCGAAGATTTTAAACACCCATGAGGACACAGGTTGCCTCAAACCAGAGACTATCTCTCTAGTTTTCATCCACCGACATCTTCAAAACAACTCAAATCAATGTGTTTACAAACCTTATTTGCATAATTCTGAAAAATAACAAAGACATCTCTTTGGCCGTTCAGCTTCGTTTGCTTATCTTCTACATGTTCTACATAAGTTATGGCGACGCAAAAAAGGAGAATTGGAGAACAACCAAACCATTTTGAAACATGTGTCTGAAACCCTTTTTGACGGGCTAAAAATAAAGGAAACTTTTTTTCTCAACCGTTAGTTGAAAAGATCGCTCTTAGCGAGAGCGGCACTTAATTCCATAAACCTCACTTTGTTCTCCAAGCCAACAAAGCGGACTTTTTTTGTTAACAAAAGTATCAATATCTGAAGTACACGACGAGACACATTTTAGCTTAAAATTTTGTAAAATGGCGTCGTCAAAAGTGGTATTATTTATTATAAGGCTTTGTGAGTGGTTATTGTCGCTCTCTGAACATTAGCATTTCTCTTATTTATAAAAACCACAATTGTCACAATCCCAAGCTGTTTCCTATCCTAATGCGTTTTAAGACAATTGTCGATATTTTAATCCGCGTTGTCATGCCATATTCATGAAGCTGCATGTTTTTTCTCAGATCCTATCCAACGCCTTCGAAACTGAAAATATATCGATATAACCTGACAAAAAAGTTCCGATATTTCCGTTTTTTCCGATAAATTATGTCTACAAGCCTAAAGAGAGTTCTCTTAACGTCTTGTATTTAAAATGGATTGAGTTCCATCCAAGAGATTAAAATATTTAACTGACATCATTGAAAAATATATCATTTTGGTGGAAATTTTTTCCTTAACAAAGGAAACGGACTTAAATCTACTACACCTTCTTTTAAGACCGAGGATAAGCAATATACATCATTCAATATAATCAATATCAATATTATTCCACGAGAAAATATATACATAAAACGTTTAATGAACTTCGTTTTATTTCTTCCGGCAAGTTGATTACGTAATCGTTTCTACCGTTTCACATGCATGCAATAATGTTTTGCTGATCATCTTCCAAGATCTTCTGATATAAATTACTTTTCCTTTTTCAAAAGGATTTGAATTAAAGCTTAGTTCTATCGGTAAAGTAAAAAAACTATCACTCTTTATGAAAAGTAAAACCGCAATATTGATAAGTTCGGTTGCCATGACGACACTGTTCTCTTCATACGTGGAAGAATTAATGTTACATTCACTTCACGTACTGAAGATATCATTTTCTGAAACAGGAGAGATTCTAGCTTCCTGGCTGGCTCCGCCTGCTAACTATCACGATGGCCGTTTGTTACCAATAGCTAAGGATAAAGTATCATCTCTTTCGAGCGACTTATTTAT